AAAAAAGCAAAAAAGATAAACAATATATGGAATATAATAGAAGAAGCTATTATTACAGCAACAAGTAAATATATACCCAAGAAAAAAGTATACAACATAATAACAAACAGAAAAAGAAGTTAGAAAAAACAGTAACAAGAAGAAAGAATTGTCAATTTACAAAAATTAATCAAATTGCAAAAGTCAAAAGAACTCAAACAGTAACAGAAGATGAAAAAGTAAAGTGAATGAACAATTAAAGATACTAGACAAGAAAATTAGTATAAAACTACCAAAACTGCCAAGACAATAAGCAAGCATATGGATAGAAGATATGAAGAGTTGAAAAAAGCTATTATTAGAAAGGAAAAAGAAAGACTAAAAGTGAATATAAAGAAAACAAATAGAAAAGAATATAGATAAAAAGTGTGAAATAATCAAAACAGATTAAGGAAAAATAATAGCAAGTTTTTTGAATAAATTTTACAAAAAAATAGTACTTAACAGATTTATCAAACAAACAGAAGAAAAAATAAATCTGCTAACAAGTTTAGAAAATGTTAAAATAGAATTAACAGAACATTATAAAAAACAATTTAGGAAAAAAAATACAAAATTAGAAAAGATATTAAAAAAGTGGAAGAAAATATAAACATGAAAAAACATTAAAGAGAAATAATATACAAAAAATGAAAAAGAAATTAAGAAAAAAAAATAAGAAGAAGTATTAAGAGAACTGAAGACAGAAACAGCTCTAAGCATATTAAATATAAGTTATATTCTAATAAAGCAAGTAGAAAAAAGAATACAAAAAGTATTTAAAGGCTTTGCAAACTTATTTTTAAAAGTAGAAAAAATGTCAACTAAATGGAAGATAGCACAAATTTACTCAATAATTAAAAATGTTAAATAAAAATATAGTTTAAACAACATTCAACTAATAGCATTAATAAAAACATTTAAAAAAGTTGTAACAAAAGTGGTAACAAAAAGGCTTGCCAAAGTGTTTATAAAAAAAGAAATACTCAAAAAACCAAACTATGCAGGCCTTTTAAGCAATTCAATAGAACAACCAGTACATATTTTTAATATAATAATGAAAGAAACAAAAGAGAAGAGTAAAGAAGTATGAATACTTCTACAAGATATAAAAAAAGCATTTGACTTAGTTCTATTTAAGAGTCTAGATCTAACACTACAGAGAGTTAAAGTGCTTAAAAGAACAATAAAATACATTTTGAGCCTGTTTTATAAAAGGTAACTGAAAATTATCACAGCTCATAGCCTAACAGAAGAGATAATAGTAGAAGATGATATAGATTAGAGTGATGTAATATCTTTATTAATATGACACTTTTCTATGATTTACTGTTAGAGAGAGTATAAGAAGATAAAAATTAAGATATATAAAATAGCAAATCAAAAGAGACATGCAATGCAGCAATACCACAAAGTACCATTAAGCAGCTATTGCATATGCAGATGACACAATGTGAATTGCAAATAGTAAAAAACAACTAATAGAGATATTAATGATAGCAGAAAGATTTTTCAAAATGAATAATATAGAGATAAATAGATCTAAATCAAAGTTGTTAATATTAGACAAACTAAATTATTTTTTCAACCTTTTATATTTTTTGACATCTCTTCTATTTTTCATATATTTATTGTTAAACTTGCTCTTTGGCAGCCTTGTATTATTCTTAATATTGTTAACTGTCCAAGACTGTTTTGTTTGTTTAGTCTTACTAATAGGCACTTATTTGTTTTGTTGTTAATTCTTATTATAATATTCTATAGCTTCTAAGATCTTTGTATTCTATTGTGCAGTTTTTTAATATTCTTTGTAGGCTGCTTTTTTGCTTCACTAAGCTTATTATTGGTTGATAAATTTTACTTATATTTCTTTTTGATATTTTTGTTAGCTGTAGTATATAACTTAATTTTATTATTACCAGATGGATCTTTAATATACTATTATAAAAACTAGACTTAGAAAACAGATGTTAATATAAAAGAGTTAGATAAGCAAGAACTTCTAGATAGAGGATACTACTGATTAGACTGCTAAAATAAACTAAAAAAAAGAATATTTGACTAATTTAATATATTAATAAGCTAGTTGTAGTTTATAGAACTATTTAAATTAGAAGTTTGATAACAATACAAAATATATTAAGTAATTTAAATATACTGTAAAATAGTACTGAAGTTTAAGTAAACTCTGTAAGAACATAATAATTTAATAATCAGCTCTAGTTACAAGTATTAGTTTTATTATATTAATACTAAATTAGTTGTAAAAATAGGTACAAAATAGTTTGAAAGATTTACCTTAAAGATAAAATAATTCTAAGGTTAAGACAATAATCTAATTATAATTTAGTAATGTTAATACAGAGTTGCAGTTTCAGAAAGTTTAAAATAGAACATTTAAGTAAGAGTATTAGATACATAATTAGTATAAAATTTTTAGATAAACTTTTTAAATAGGTAATATAAAAAGCTATATATATACCCAATTGTATACTTTTTCTGTATTGGTTTATAGAATCATATTACCAAAAAAGTCATTAATAAAAGTTAAAAGATCAAAAAGATCATCTTAGCATTAAAAAAAAATCAAGAATTATATTTAAAAATACTTATTATAAATTATAAAATATACAAATTAATAAAAAGAAAAGAATAAAAATAAAATTAAAAATTAATTAAATATTGATTTAGATAATTATAACTAAATAATAATAAAAGAACTATATAAGAAATTTAAATTTATTAAAAATATTTAATTTAGAAAATAATATTTTAAAGATAATAATAATAATCAATTTATAAAAATTTTAGATAATAAAAATAAATCAAATAATTTTATTCAAAATTTAGAAAATAAATAAATTATAATTTAAATAAATTAGTATAAAAATATTTTAATAATATTGATAATATTTATTATTATTAAAAATTAAATAATTAAATTTATTATTATTATATAATTTTATATTAGATATATAATGATTTTTTTCTTAACAATAAGAGAATTTTCAGATTAATATTAGAATTTATATTTTGAATATAATTAGTATAAAATTATTAGGAATTCTTATTAATATAAATATAACTAATATATAAGTATTATTAATTTTTGTTAATACAAAAATGACCAACATACAATTAATAGAAATTTTTGTTAATACAAACATAAATTGCATAAAATTCTTGTTAATATGAATATAGAAATTCAATAATTAATAAACTCAATATGTAATGTCATAGGCCAAAAAAATGTAATAATTCATGTTTAATAATATGTAGCATAAACAATAATCAGGACCTATGAATCATACATGCATTATTAATTCCTCAAAATAGCAAAATACACATAATCAGGCTTCCCATGCCAAGAAACACAAGACAAGGTAGTTGTGCCCAAATTGGAGAAGGCATTACACTATGACAGTAATGTTTCAAAGTGACAAAATTCAAAATAATAGAAGGATGAGTTAGTAAAGCATAATAAAAATAAAGTAAAAGCACAAATATATAAAGTATAGTACTTAACTAGTTTAGATAAAACTCATATTAGTAATATTGTAATATAGTGGAATAGTAAAAAAAGTAGGAGTAAAACCTAAAACAGATAGCATTAGTTAGTACAAACAAAAAGTATATAAAAGCAAAAGCAGAAGTTAAATAAAAATACTTATCTTTTGGTGTTCTTAAGTAGTGCAAAAAGGGTCAAAATCTCTGGCTAATAATATTAAATAGTTTATAAGGTAGTTAGTTAATTATCAAATAAAAAAATCAAATAAAATAAAAAAACTTATTATTAAAATATTTACCCAAATCAAATTCATGCCTCAAAGCCTTGTTTTATCATATCTGTAATGTTATGCATTGTCTGGTTAGTAGAAGCAACAGACTCACTATTTACTTACTGCATTTTTGATGATGATTGTAAGATTTTTAAACAAAAGTGAAGTTTTATATCTCCTTCTTCCTGATTTGAAAAACTGCACAAAAAACAAAAAAAAGTATTAAAAAGAAAAATAAAGTAAGAAAAACAATACAGTGAAGACAAAAGAAAACAAAGAACTTAGCCAAAAGCCATAGAATGAAACCCTTATTCTGTAAGAGGTTCCAAAAAGTATTTTCACTGAAGAATAATACAACTCATCACTATATTAACACAAAATTTTTAACAAACTAAAACAAAATTTTTTTTTTTACAAACTAAAACAAAAAAAATTTTTTTTATACTGAAACAAACAAATTGTTTTTAATTAACCTACCATAAATTACTTAATTACTATATAATTAATTAGTTATAGATAAAACAAATAATTTATTATTAACAAAGTAATAAAAAGTTTAAAGTAAACAGTAATAAATCCCATTATAGAATCGACAAACAAACTTCAAATTAACAATCAATAGTTACCTCATTTTTTATTTTAAAAATAGTATAAAAAAAAAAATTTTTTTCATATATAAATAAAAATAAACTTTTAAATTTTTTTTTAGAAAAAAAAAAAAACAAAGTAGATAACTTACTTAATATCTCAATTAGCAAAAACAACCAAGCTGAACAAAATAAAACTATCATGCAAGTGAACCAAGACCAAGTCAACATTATCTTAAAAGAAATTACCAACATCTTTCATAATGCAACTTAGGAGCTGTTAATAAAGCATAACCTGAACAAAAAAATAATTAGTTAGAGTTAGAATCTTCTATAAAGACAATGATAAGAATTTCTATGAATAGTTGAAAGCTTTTGAATAAGCTGCTAATACTAATAATTGAATTGCAAAAAGAAAAATTAGGATTGCATCTGAATACTTTGCTAGAATAGTCACAGACTAGTTTTATGATAATAAGAAGAAGATATATTATTGGAATGAGAAATATGATCAAGAAGAAGCTTTGTTCTTACATTTTTGAAACATTTTGCAATCCTTAAACAGAAACATCTATGTTAAGTTAAACTAATCTCTTAACAAAAAAAGAAGATAAACATGTTGGAACATATGTCTACAAATTTAAAAAGTAAGTAAAAAGAGTTGTTACAGAAAAAGCCCTGCCCAAAGAATACATTGTTAAAATGTTTATTGGAGGTTTGCAAAAGAAAATAGCCTAGTTAGTATTAGTAAAAGACTCTGAAACTCCAAATGAAACAATTTTTGCTGCCAAAAATATTAAAACTGGAAGCTACTATGAAAACATTGCTGTAGAGAGGAAAAGAAAAGGTAACAATAAGTGGGAAGGTAATATGAATGAGTTGGCACAACAAATCCAAAATATGACAACCAATTATGCTAAACTCACAGTCATATTAACTATTCAAGCTAAAGTTAATAAGTCATGTCCAAGACTACTCACAAGAGTAAATGTGATAGTTATATCTTATCAGTGTAATGAAAAAGGCCACTAAGCAAAAAAATGTTTAACAAAAAGAAAAACTTCAATACCTTATGAAAAAAGATCCACCTAACACATTCAAATATTAAGGTGTAAAGTTAAAGCCAATTATAGCAGTATTGATTATAGCTATAATAATGAAAAAGAAAAAGAAAATTTTGTTACTAGTAAAAGATATCTCTCTTATTGTTGTAAGAATAATGATTGCCTTCTGAATTCTGAATCATAATGAGAAGGTCAGTTAAGATAATGTTAATAACCAACTAAATGAAACCAAGAAAACCTACTCTTTAATTAATGATAAAGAATTAATGCAATATAATGATAACATTCCCTCTATTAGAGCCCTCAGAAGAAAAATAGGCCTATTAATAATTGACTTATTTGTCCATACAATATGGCTAATAATATATTAACTAAACTTGCAAGTGCCACAGTTGGACAAATGTTACAGTATCTCACACAATATAGAAACTTAGCAAAATTTCTTCAAAGCTCTAATTGTGAAAAAAACCAATTATGTCAATAATAGTGAAAAAGAACAACTGCAACATGATATCATATAAGGATTGAAAATAACCCTGTAGTTGCAATTTTAGATTTAGAAGCTGCTATAAGTTTTATTACTAAAAGGTTGGTAAAAAATTAAAGAAAGGTCTACTATGATTATAGTAACTGCTACAGCTGTTAGAACAAGAATACTAAAAAAAATTAAAAGTACCAAAATTGTGATGCAAGACATGTCTATCTCTAGTCCACTCCAAGTAATTGATTCAGTTGATAAGACCCTGTTGTTAGGTAATGACTAGTTTAAAAGGGCTAATGCCTGTATGCACTTTAACAAACAAAAACTGATCTTAAAGTATTTAAAAAGAGTTATTGAAGTGCTAATTTCTAATAATGGATTGAAGAAGTTGTACCAACTAGTAGAAAAATTGAAATTAAGGACCCTTACAATAATAAAAATAATTTGTTCAATCATTTAATCTATGAAGATGAAGAAGTAAAAGAAATTAAAAGTTATTTTACTAAAGAGGTAATAAGTGAAAGAATGCTGAGCTTTATTCCAACCTATAGCATGATGTATAAAGCTCTGCAGCATACCTGTCTCATATTGAAGAATTATTTATGAACTTTATAAAATCTAAAGTGAACAATCTAAAGAAGTAAGTTGAAAAAATGTATATTAAAGAAGAATTAGATGCTGAATAATAAGAGAAAGCTAAAAAACTATTGGAAAGAGAAAAAGATATCTTTGCACAAACTATTAATAAACTTGAATGCACCAATTGTACTTATCATGTAATTGATATAGGTAATATTACTCTCATTAAGCAAAATCTATATAGAGTTGCCTCTAGTATCAAAGATTTTATTAAAAGTGAAATAGCCCAGTTAAAAGAGAGAGAATTAATTTGTAAATCACAAAGTTCATGGCCCTCTCTAGTTGTCATAATTTCCAAAAAAGGCAAAAAACTATGTCTGTGTATTAATTATTATAAATTAAATGTAGTACAAAAAAGGATTTATATCTTCTGCTATAAGTAAACAATCTTTTAGAAACTTTTTCTTCAGCAAGGTGGTTTAGTATATAGGACTATTAAGTAACTACTAACAATTACCTATTAATGAAAATAATAAAAAAAAAATAGCATTTGTTACTACCTTCAGGATATATGAATTTAACATTATGCCCTTCAAACTGTGTAATGCCTCTGCTAGTTTTTAGCAATTAATAAACAAGATTCTGGCTAATTATATTAGAAAGTTTATCATTATGTACCTAAATAATTAAATATTTATTCAAAAACTTTTTATAATCATTTAAGCTATATTAATATCATCTTTATTAAACTTAGAAAAGTAGGTTTAAAATTAAATTTTTAAAAGTATATCTTCTTTTATTCAAACATTCACTTTCTAGATCACATTGTAGGACAGAAAGAATTATGCCTGATGAAGTAAAAATTAAGAAAGTAAAGAACTTCCTAATTTTAACAAACTTGTGCAAACTTTGTAGTTTTATTAGGCTGGCATCATACTATTGATAATTTATTAAAGGTTTCACTATCATTGCTCACCTATTACATTATTTATTGAAGAAAAACATTAAATATAAATAGCAAAAAGAACAAAACCAAACATTCGAAATTCTAAAATATCACCTAATCATTGTCTTTATTCTATGATATTTTGACTTTATAAAGACATTTTATGTAAAAACAGACACTTCTAGTTCTGGGCTTGGTGCAGTACTTGCACAGAAGAATAATAATGAAAAAGAGTACATGATTTCATATATGAGTAAAGAATTGACACCACCCAAATAAAACTATGTTGCTATGAAATTGAAAAGTTTGGTGGTACTATAGGTAGTAGAACATTTTTATCATTAGTATAGTTTGAATCCTTTCATCATAGTAACTGACTATAGCATACTAAAATTGTTAAAAATCTCAAAACCTACTAGAAAGCATGCAAGATAGATGCTCTGTTTGCAGTTCTATAACTTAATATCCAACATTAAAGTGTTTGAAAACATAATAATGCAGATGTATTATCTTAAATCTAATCTTCTTTAGTAACAAAATAATATAAATAAATAAATAAATAAATAAAAAATCAATTAAAAAAAAAAGAAATTCTTATACTTCCTATAAATCTGAGATACAGAATTCAGTCCAGGTTTCAATATTCTGGCAAACCTGTTAACAAGAGAATATATATATAGTAATAAGTAAATAGCTTAATTACATTAACTAACAATCAAATAGAACTCACTTACTATAACCAACTTAAGATATACCTTCAAACCTACAAGCTTTCATCTGTTCTTGACCTTAAAGAGAGACAAAAATTGCAAAAGAAAAGTGAATTTTTTATATTTAATAATAACATTCTATACAAAAAAGTCAGAAGAAAAAAAAATAACTTGCTTTATGTGATTTAGAAGCATGAGTTAGAACTCATCTTGTTTTTAATACATCAACACTTATTAAAGACTACTTCAGCAAAGACATAATGTTTAATAAAATAAGAAACACTTATTTTTGGCCTCAAATATACACTAATATTCGCAACTACATCCAGAGCTATAATAGATGCCAACATAAAGAAAAGACATAAATATACAACTCATTACAACCTATTTCAGTACTATATTCTTTCATCAAATTAGTATTGACTTTGTAGAACCACTTCCTTGAACATCAAGGTTAAAATAATACATTCTTGTTGCTATTGATTATATAATAAAATAGTATAAGGTGATGGCTATAAAAAAAGTAAATGCTGCGACAGTTGCAGATTTCTTATACAATGAAATTATGTGTCAACATGGTTGTTTTGAGTACATACTGTCTAATTGTGATACCCATTTTAATAACAATGTTATTGAAGAGTTTATAAGCAAATTTGCAGTCAACTACAAGTTATTAACATTATACCACTCACAGACCAACAGGTTAGTAAAATGATTTAATCATACCTTGTATGAAGCCATAGCCAAACTTGTTAATAATATGCCAAATTGGGATCTACTTATACTCTTTATTCTTTTTGCCTACTGTACTGCTAAGAATTTCTCTAAAAAAATATCATTATTCTACTTTGTATATTTCCAAAAAACCTAACAGCCCATTCACCCAAATAATGAAGAAAAATTATTAAAAGGTACCATCCTTCAGTACACTTATAAACAGATAGAGTACCTTCCTCAAATGAGAAGTATTGCATTAGATAACATTCAACAGGCTCAGGAATAACAAAAGCAATATTATAATACTCACCAGAAATTAGTCTCTGAATTCAATATTGTAACAAGATATTGATGTGCAAGGTCTTAATAGAATATTTTCAAAGTAGTAAATTCAAACCGAAATGATTAGGCCCATATTATGTATATGATCAACTTCTGAACAACATTTACAAACTGTAAATGATCAACAAAAAAGTGTTGGCTACCTTTATTAATATTAATATTCTAAAAAACTATTATAATAATTAAATAAAACTAAAAAAAATAAATAAAATAAAATAATAATATATATATAATTAAAAATAAATAATAATAACTAATAACAAATATATACTATAATCTGCTATGCCAAAACCTTCAGCATAAAAGAGAAAAGGGACTTTGAATAGTAAGATGAAAGTGAAGTCATTAGCAACCAAGAAATTCTGATCAAAATGACAAGAAGACTCAAGAAAATATAATCATTCTTCCTTTCTATACATCAGAAAAACCACTATTACAAGGATGATTAAGTAATAAAATAACTGTTAAATATTTAATTGATAATACATATAAGATAAGCACTATAAAAATGTTACAGACTAGAAAAATGTAATGATTTATATATAATGATATATAGCACAAATTACAATCAGAACCCACAGATCATACATGTATTATTGACTTCCAAAACAACAAAACATGCATAATTAGGCCCTCTAATATTAAGAAATACAAGACAAGACAGTTGTGCCCAAATTAGGGAAGGTATTATACTGTGATAACAATGTTTAAAGTAGCAAAATTCAAAATAATAAAAAGACAAGTTAGTAAAGTAAATTAAAAATAAAATAAAAACTCAAATGCATAAAGTATAGTACTTAGTTAGTTTAGATGAAACCTATGTTAATAATATTGTAGTATGGCAAAATGATAGAAAAAGTAAGAATGAAATCTAAAACAGATAACATTAGTTAGTACAAACAAAAAGTGTATAAAAGCAAAAACAGAAGTTAAATAAAAATACTTATGTTTTGGCATCTTTAAGTAGTAGAAAGAGAGTTGAAATCTCTGAGTAATAATATTAAATAGTTTATAAGATAGTTAGTTGAGTATTGAATAAAGAAATTAAATAAAATAAAGAAACTTATTATTAAAATACTCACCCAAATTAAATCCATGTCTCAAAGCCTTGTTTCATCATATCTGTAATATTACATAACATTTTGTTAGTAGAAGTGACAGACTTACTGTTTATCTGTTGCTGTAAATATATT